AGCTTTAGAGAACTTTAGATTTTTATTTTCAACAAATTGTAAATAAGAGGTTTACATTGGCGTGTTTATTAATTTTTCACTTAAGCATATGGAGGTCAGCTGTCAAGGAGAGCTCCCCCCATCCACCCACGGACAGACTGACAGAGTAATTGGGAAGTGTTAACTATCCAGCCATTGCAAGCCACTGCAGCAGCTACAAATAAATGAAAAATAAACTTTTTTTTTCTCCTGATGGTAACTGTAACAAATTGTCATGTTACACATCCTTGCGTAACAATCATGACGTCCTCATTCAATCAAATGTGTGAAGTTTATTTATGTTGAAACTGTGACCTTGACATGCAGGTGTGAAGTAGAGTTAACAGCTACTGATTTAAAAGGTTGTTAATAATATCTTCCATGTCATATTAACATTGGAATGTTCTTACAAGTGTAAAAGGAGGTGACACACAATGTGTCTCCTCTGTAACTCTTAAGTTTACAGACAGATTCCACCAGAGCCACACAAAATTGTCCAATAATACTCTTCCTGTGTCTAATTTCTTGTTTAGCAGGATTTGCACGATAAGCACATTGTTTAATGGGGATGACATTACCCATGTCTATATCACTGTACAACACAAGTTTGACTCGGAGTGTCTGTTAATAAAATAGAGCGCCTTCCAATACATATAAGTACTGCATGATTTCTTTATCCGTTTCAGCTTAATGAGGGGAATTAAATCAGTCAGAATCTCGGAGTGCCATTTGTAAAAATAACCCTTCCTACCTCCTTTGTTTAACTTAAAGAATTTCGCAAAGAAATCCTTAATCACAATAGCATAACAGGTTGAAAATCCTTTATCCGAAATTCCAAAATCCGAAAACCTTCAAAATCTGAACGTTTTTTGAATGCTGTTGTTGAAGAAACTTGACAGCGGTATAAGTGTGAAGCGTCTGACTGAGAAGTTTGGTGTTGGAACAACCACTATGTACCACCTGAAGAAACAAAAGGACAAACTGTTAAGGTTCTGTGCTGAAAGTGATGAACAAAAGTTAATGAAAAATAGAAAAACATTACATAGAGCGAAAAATGAAGATATCGTAGGTGGATACTGATAATTTACTGAACTTTCCAGCTCACAGTGATGTCATCGATGACGTACCCTCTCCCTCAAGTTTCTCGGACCTGATGTTGTTGTAATGTCTGGTGCTGCATTTATCTTCAAGTTTGTAAGCAGTGATCATCGTGTTTTGTTTTGTACAAAATGTTATTTTTACGTGAGATCTGAATTTCACCTCCATGTATGAGTGTAATTTGACTAGCGTCATTACTTGCACATTACTTTAAAAATAAAATGCTGACTTTTTTCAGTTTTTATTTTATTTACCTGTCATCACATTCAATGCTTTGTTTTTATACCTTACATAAAACAAAATACCTGTTTAGTAAAAAATAAAATACAAATGGCGTACGTGTACTATAACCTTTTAATCAAAACATGACATCATAGGTGGAGACTGATATCTTACCTTTCTAATGGTATTATGTTAAAAAAAATTATTAAAAATTTGTATAAAACTACATTCAGGGTATATGTATAAGCTATATTATGAAATGTAAATGGATATCGTGTTCAGACTTGGGTCCCATCCCAAGCTGTCCCATTTTATAGATGCAAATATAAAACTATTCCAAAATCCGAAACTCGCAACACTTTCGGTCCCAGGAATTTCGGATAAGAGATTCTCAACCTGTACTTATTTTATCCAGATACACAAATTCATGCCAAAGCCAACAACAAGCTATAATAGTGAACTATTTTTATGTATTCACTATATAAGAAACAAATGGAAAGTAATACTCTAATCAGGCTTTGAACCATTGGGTGCAGTGCTTTGTCCATTATCACTACAAGGACAATAAAAGTTTTTAAAAAAGAAACAGATGTTAAAATGTTTCCAAAATGTTTACTTGTGATACTTTAGCTGCTTAGTTACACAATTCCATATTAATATAACTATCAAGTGATGTTAAATCACTACAAAATGTATCTTTTTACAGTAACAGCGAGTGGTGTTCTTACTATGTATTTTTAGAAAAGGATAAAATGTTATAAGTTTTTATGAAGTACAGAATATAAGCTTAATAATGTTAGAACAAGCATGTTAAAACCAGAACCTATGTAAGTTACCAAATTAAAGACTTTGATGCATAAAATGTTTATGCATAATTAATATATTTATGATGAAGGTGGAAGGTTGTGTACTTTTGTCCAACTGAGCAATCTTGCATTTATAAAATATACAGACTTTTTATGTTTAATGATTAACATGCTGTAATACACAGTTTAAAATGATTAAAAGTCTAAAGAGTATACAACTAAAGTTCTTAATTGTAAAAAAATTGTTCCTCAGCAGTGATTAGAAACCGGGCATTTTCTGGCGACAGCTCAAATGCTGTACATGAGACGTTCAGCTTTATTAGCTCCACCTGGCAGTTTTGCAAGGTACTGTTATTCTATGTGAATTGCATGTGAAATGTTGCAGGATGAGGCGGTATGTTGCACAAAGTCCGCTGTGTTTTAACACAGCATAACTCACTCATTTTGAATGGCTGGATCTGTAGTTCTTCTGTGGAAAAGGGAAAGTACAACATCCGGATACTATTATCATATTTCAATTAAGATGCGGTAAGATGTGATACAATGTGCCACACCCACAGTGTTTTAACGCAGTGTACCCTGCACGTTTTGAATGGCAGGAATATGTATTATTACATATATTACATACCTCTATCATTGCAATGTAAATGTACTGTTGAGTTTAGTCAGTATGTCTGTATTTATCTCTCTCTCTCTCTCTCTTAGTGCAGTGTTAATGTACTGTAGTGTCCAGTCAGTGTATCTGTATCTGGGCAGTGTTAATGCACTGTAGTGTCCAGTGTGTCTGAGACTGGGATGAAATCTGCTTTCTTCTGTGTTGTGGTTTTATCATCATTATTTTCAGTTGCTTTTCATGTTATCTGTGTTCAGACAGCTCTTGTGTATTTGACTCTTTGGTGTACATTAAGTTTTAAAATGAGCTTTAACAACTTAATTTAGACAGTTTATATTTGTTTGCTATTTCAAATTTAAACTTAAAGTTTAAGTTCCTTTTGATTTCTACTCTCGGCCCATGTTAAAGGCCTTGTTCTGTTGTGCTGTGTTTTCAGGCTCAGAGGCCAGTGCTCTCCTTGATGCTGGGGAAAGGGCTCCTCTTGAACAGCAGTACGGTGAGGAGGAGTGGGGCTCAAGTCTGATGCAGACGGAGCTCACTGCCGCAGAAGGGAAAGAGAAAGTCAGTGAGCAGCACACAAAGAGGAGACAGAGTGCCCAGGATCTGGACTCTGTGCACACGATAAAGACAGAGCCTGAGAGTGAGACACATGGACCCTTAGCTTTTACAGAGAAGACTAGTAATCTGGACACCAAGAATATCGCAGAACATTGTAATGAACTTGACTGTGTCTCTGTACAAGAGTTCAAAGAAGAAGTGATTGAGTTTCATCTTACAGAGCAGGACATGGAGCCCCAGTTGATTGACCCTGCAGAGCAACACACTGAGGGACATGATAGAGAGAACACAGCTCACTTTCAGCACACAGAGCAAGATCATTACTGGGAGCATTTGCAGTGTGAGAAACCACAGCGAGACCAGAGGATGAGGAAGAATCACTTGAGTCCTCACTCAGATGGAAGGGACAAGCTGCCATTACAGGATGGACAAGAACAGCGTTTTTGTAAATCTAGCACTTCAAATCCTTACCAGAGCCTTCACACAGGAGAGAGACCGTTCCCTTGCAGGGAGTGTGGGAAAGGGTTTAAATACATAAGCAACTTAATAAACCACCAGCGCATTCACACAGGAGAAAAGCCGTTCAGCTGCAGTCAGTGTGGGAAGAGTTTTAATCAGTCAAGCAACTTAAAAAGCCACCAGCGCACTCACACAGGAGAAAAGCCATTCAGCTGTAGTCAGTGTGGGAAGAGTTTTAGTCGATTAGACACTTTAAATTGCCATAAGCACACGCACACTGGAGAGAAACCGTTCTCCTGCAGTCAGTGTGGGAAGAGTTTTTATAATTCAAGCAACTTAGAAACTCATCAGCGCACTCACACAGGAGAAAGACCATTCAGCTGCAGTCAATGTGGGAAGAGTTTTAATCAGTCAAGTGTCTTAAAATCACACCAGCGCACTCACACAGGAGAGAGACCATTCAGCTGTAGTCAATGTGGGAAGAGGTTTATTCGGTCAAATGACTTAAAAAGACACCAGCGTATTCACACAGGAGAAAGACCCTTCATTTGTAGTCATTGTGGGAAGTGCTTTAGTTTCTCAAATTCCTTAAGGGTCCACCAGCGCCTTCACACAGGAGAGAAACCATTCTGCTACACTCAGTGTGGGAATAGTTTTATTCTGTCAGGTGACTTAAATACACATTAGTGTACTCACACAGTACACCGTTCAGTCAAAGTCAGTCTGGGAGGAATTTTAAGTTGTTGTTCATCTGTAGTAACTGTGTGAAAGAAACCATTCAACTTCAATGTGGGGAGAGTTTTTTGTAGAAAGCAACATATTATGTTTGCTTGACATTACATTTATCTTTTCAGCTTCCAAGTTTATATATGTTGACTGTAGAAATTCTACCCAACTTTTCTGAAGTATCACATTTTGTGGCCTAAGGCCATGTAACCAGGACATAGAACTTATTTTATCTTTATTTATACATTAAAACACAGCCTCCAAGTAAATAATACATGCTCAGGCATTCTAACAGTACTTTAAATCCTCTTATCAATAACTAAGGAAAATCAAGTTAGAAACACTTCAACCTTATCCATCCCCTCCCTCAAAATGGAAGTCAAGGTCACTCTGCCCTCCTGAATGGATGAACCTCTTAATATCGTTAATTATCTTGGAAACAACACACACCACAGACATGGTTGTCATCTTGAATTAAAGAGAACCCCTTGGTCATTCTGCTTGTACATTCAGATTTTTTAAGATGTCCTACTTTGTACACATTTTTATTTATTTTATTGCATTTTCTCTTTTTGTTGTTAAGTTGTAAATTTCGTTTTCTTGGACTCCTCTAAAATGTCTACGACCATGAAAAAAAAAGGTTTGAATGTGATTGAACAAGTATTAAAAAAATCTGCATGATTTTTTTGTATGAAGACGGGGCATGAATTGGTTTTCTCAACCTTGTAAAAAATGTAAAATAGATAAGACAGATAATGAAAAGAAGACAAATTTTACCGTAGTATTTCAATACTGTCAGCCCTACAGAGGCTTCTTATATTGTTAACAGTTTTTATTTAAAAAAGTGTTTTGTACACTTTTTAAAGTTTTTTGCACTTTTTCTGGCATTCTACAGTAATTCCTGGTGTATAAAGTATTACTAATAAATGGGTTTAGCAAAATAAAATCTACGCATGCACACTATAAGAGAGGGGGGTTTAAGTCTCTGAATGGCTGAAATTGCTGAATGACAGCTATTGGAACCTATCAAATGAACTTTTATCCTAGAGCTGGTTGATTTGAATGTATAGGGCTTTGGCAGCCATCTTTGTTGCAGAATGTTTTGTTTTTATAGACTTATAGTGAACATTCTTATTAAAATATTAAAATAAATGCACTTCTCAAGGTAAGGTAACATGTTATTTATGTATTTTTTGCAAACATTTGCTTTTGCATTCTTATATTGCTGGAGAACCAATAAAGTATAGTTATATTTTCCTGCTTCTCTAAACTGAAAACAAGATGAATGTAACTATGGGAAAAAAAATGTTCATTTGTTTTATGCTAATGTATCTAGTTACAAAAACACATTTCTGTAAAGCTTAGGTTGTCTTGTGTTATGTGATGTGTAGCATGTGATGCGTTTCGATTTTACTGGTAAAAATGTATATTCAACTGATGTTCAGCTTCTGTCTAAAGTGCTATTGTCAGCATTAAACAATTAGTTGGTTTGTTACAAAATAGTTTCACTGCAGTGAAAACAAACTTAATGGTAATGTTCTGAGGATATTGGATATCAATTGTATTGGCAATATTTTGTGAAACAATAAAAAACTATGTTGATTTTGGTAACATAAATTGTACCATTGAAAGCAAATACACACTTTTAGGCAGATGTGTCTAGCTGTGAGCAGATGATGACAGCACACCTGTTTCCCCAGGAAAGTTATGGCTGCTCCCAAAGCAATATACTGCATCCACAATTGATACTTATACTGTCACTACTTGTGGGTCACGTGTTCCTGATGTCAGCCTATTATACCATGTTCAGCAACCACTAGAAATGTCACTACTGTAGTATAAAAGCAAAAGAGGAAAAGAACACAAACCCAGTTTAAAAGGGCAACCAGTAAAGCTCCGAGCTCATTGAGGATGAAATTCAAACCCACGTGGGCAGAGCACACTGGTTTAGTAGTCCATTGCCTTAACCACTCAGACATCTCATCACCAAACTGCCCATGTTGGATCATGAGGTGGCACACTCAAGATGATCATCTTTCTCCATAGCCGAGGGTCATTTTCCACCTGTAATTTCAACATTTTCCTTGGGAGATGTCAAGCCGCCGAGCTTGGGTGTGCTTCAGTGGCGGGTATAGTGGACACCCTGTTGTACACAAAGAACATTGAGCTCCTTGAACATGAAAAGTGCCAGATAAAAGCCTTTCTCCTGGTCGTGCTGCTGTTGCATGTAAAGGAGGCAACTTGCTCAGCGAGCAGAAGTCTCAGCGTGGCGTGTTCAAGTGGCTGTAAAAGGGTAGTGCTCTGCTGGTGCCATGGCTTAGATGGTGTTACGAGCCCAAGTGTCCAGGGGTAAAGGGGTGTAACATTTAGGATGATTTGGATGCAGGGGGTTTTCTGGTGAGGGACCTATGGAAGCGTGACAAGTTTTTGTGCAAAAGTTATTTTAAAGTGAATAAGTGACTGGTACGTAGACAGGACACAATAACACACGGGGAAAGGGAACTAGAGCGGTGCCAAAGAAAAGAAAATAAACAAAATTAAGCTGGCTAATAAAGTGAGGGAAAACTAACCTAACTACAAAACAAAACCCGAAACACTTGGTCTTTGGTGTCTTCTAATGCCCTGGCTAAGCTTCACAACCATACAAGACAAAAGGCACTCGCCTGTCCTAAACTAGTGTTACTAATACAAAGATCAACTATGTGTGTAGAATGTACCTGACAACCTTTACTAACCCTTAACACAAAAGGTCACACAAATACACAAGTGAACTATGAATACAAAGAAGGAAAAACAAGAGTAGACAGAAGGAATAGGGTACAAAAGAGCACAGAGGTTGATATAACAAGTTTGGTAGTGGCGAAATAAGGAAAATGCAAACAAGCGAAAGTACAAGGAGACGAATGCAAACCAACAAAGCCGAAGGTATATAGAAACACGCACGAAGTGAAGCGAACGAAAACAGAGAAGTGAAGCCGAAGCAAAACGAAAGTGAAATTAAGCTGAGCTGAGCAGAATCAAAGTCAAGTGAAAGGCCCCTTCGTTCTGATAACCTCCAAGTTATATTGAGAATAAGCTGTGTTCTAATTGGCCGAGAAGCTGATTGATGATGACATTGCAACGGCAAAGATGGTGTAGTGATGGACCAATGGGGGGGAGGGGGTTAGCTGATTACAGGAAATGGAAAAAAAACACAAAACATATGGACACACATGGGGATGTAACAGATGGTTAAAGTGCCTGTCTAGTAAACAAGAAATACTGGATCTGAATCCCAGCGGTATCTTTCTTCCTGTCTTGTTGTACAGAATGTAACATCGTGGGCAATCACATACGGCCTGATTTACTTGAATGCAATTATTTATTTCCTTTCTGGAACAACTTATTTTTCAAGAAATTCATACAGCTTGCGACAGATGAAATTCAATTCTTGGTTATCAGTGCAGAAGACATCCTGCCAGCTGGCAGTAGGAACCTGATGGCATACAGTGATCCCCAGTGCCTTATGAGCTTTATGTAATTCAGCTTTCTTTCCACTTTGAGCCTCGATTCAGATATATTATTTTTTAAAAAAGCTTAAATTCACATCATGAAGTTTGAATGGTGCGAAGTACTCTAGCCCCTGTACAACTTTACATGCCCGCTGATTAGACCTTAAAACTACAGCAGCAGGAGTAGTAATAATGGCAAAAACGTTTTTGTTCAGCGTTTCTCATTTCTTATGCAGAGTCACCTTGTCATAATGCACTGCCTGAGATAAAAAAAAAGGAATTGCGGCTTCAGGTCGTTTTTACTGAGTGCTGTGTTGTTCTGTTCATGATGCCTACATGCTTTACATTTCTGGCATTTACTGCAAGCGTTAGTTTTTCAGGTTTCCTGGAATTCCTCACATTTGAGCCAACGCTAAAATATTTCATTCAGGTTCACCCAATACATCTTGCAAACAGTATTTACAGTGGAATTGTTATTCAGTTCAATTGGAAGTTTGAGAGGTGTATTACAAATTGAGTGGGTGAATAGAGAATTACGTGACTGCTCTTCAGTTCTTGTTGTCTGACCTAGTGGTGTTATGATGCGTGGAAGCGACTGCACCTTCGTTGCAGATGCTTCCACTCACTTGGTGAAATCTCTACTTCTTTGGCACCTCATGATTTACAGATGCAGCCATTCAAAATGTGCAGTAAAACCCCGTACTGCGCTAAATTATCTACAGATTAGCATGTTATACCACAGTACTGTACGTGATTGGCTGGCCAAAATGACTGACACTCATGGTGCGTTGGCTGTTAGTGAGAAGTTGGCCTCATTTAATCTCTTTACTATGCATGTTTAAATCCTCTTAATATTGAATATTAATAGGGAATTTAACAGCTAAATGGAAATTTTGGTACTTGAGCACAAAAATAACAGGAGCATTATGTCTGTGAACGTCATAAACAACATTAATTTAGGAATATAAACATATTATGTAAACTGAATATGGCTGGTATTGGTAATTTAAATAAAAAATACACACCAGTATTCCACTTTCTCACAAAGGCCAGGACTGTCAACACCCCGCTGTGTAATGTTATGTAAAATAGACAGTTCTGGGGAGGGTGAAGGAATTTTCAGTAGCATGCA